AGAAATATGGCTTCACGTTATACACACAGCTGTCTGTTTTCATCAGGAATAATATCAGGCAGTATCTCATGTATCTTTTCATGGCAGTGAATATGGCTGTACAGCACCAGTTTTGAAAAGCCAGGCTTATTGAGGTTGTCATACTGGAAAATGCACCCTTTTTAGTGCATAATTATGAGTTTGACAAACACAGTTCTGGAACCTCCACCATAGCAAAGAAACATTCCATCACTCTCAAATTCCCTCAGGGCTCTTTGCAGTCAACATCTATCTGCCTCCACCTCCAACCCCGGCCAATCATTGGTCTGTTTTCTGCCCCACAGCTTTTCCTTTTCCAGACTCTCTTATTCACAGGATCAGAGCCTACTGTAGATGGTTCTTCTCACTTAACATAAGACACCTGAATCTCATCCAAGACGGTTGTACCAGTATCCCTGTCATCTCAAGGCTGCCTAGTATTCCTTGGTATGGATGGATCAGTGTGTGAAGTTGTTCCCAAAGAACACTTGGGGTGTTTACAGTTTTTTTGGAGATTATGAGTAAAACTGCACAGAATCATGTTTAATGGCTCCATAGTATTCTGTGATGTGGACATAGCATAGTCCTTAGCTATTAGATACTTAAGTGGTTTCCAGCTTTTATTTTTATACATGTAAACTTGTTGTCAATGTCTTCCTCTCCCTGAAGAGCCCTGTGCTAGTCAGCTTTCTGTTACCATAACAAAATAGCTGAGCCAGGAGTGATGGCATTAACCTGTAATCCCAGTGACTCTGGAAACTGAGGCAGGAGGACTGCAAGTTTGAGGCTAGTTTTAACAACTTAGTGAGACTCTGTCTCAAAACAACAAAACAAGACAAAACCAAAAACACCTGAGATAATCAACTAATAAATAAACAAGGTTTATTTTAGCTCACACTTTTGGAGGTTTCAGTCCCTGGTCTGTTGGCTGTATTGCTTTCAGGGCTTTTGGGCCTATGGTGAGGTAGTACATCACAAGTGAGCACATGTGGAGCAAGCAGCCAGGAATCAGAGAAAGAGATGGAGAGAGAAAGGGGATGGAGGTTGGCGGGGAGGATAAGAATAAATACGCGAGTGTAAAAAGAGACTAAAACCCCACAAGACCTTTCTTTCCTTTCCTTTCTTCCCTCTTCTTCCTTCTTTCCTTCCTTTTTTTCCCAGGGGTACTCTATTACTGATCTACACCCCTAGCCCTTTAAAAAAATGGTTTTTTGTAGTTGTAGATGGACACAACACCCTTATTTTATTTGTTTATTTTTATGTGGTGCTAACGATCGAACCCATGCCTCACACATGCTAGGCAAGAGTTCTTCCTCAGCCTCACCCCTAGCCCTTTTTATTTATTTTTAAAAATATGTATGTTTGTATGTATGTATGTTTGGGAACCAAGGGTTGAACTCAGGGGCACTCAACCACTGAGCCACATCCTCAGCTCTATATTGTATTTTATTTAGAGACAGGGTCTCACCCAGTTGTTTAGCACCTTGTTGTTGCTGAGGCTGGCTTTGAACTTGCAATCCTCCTGCCTCAGCCTCCTGAGCCACCGGAATTAATAGGTGTGCACTACCATGCCTGGCCCTTTTTATTTTTTGAGACAGGGTTCTGCCTCAGCTTCCCAAATTGCTAGGATTATGTGAGCACCACCACACCTGACTCACAATCTCTTTCAATATCAAGCCCCCAGTGACCTAAGACCTCTCACTAAGCATCACTTCTTAAAGTTTCTATCACTTCTATAGCTGCCAAGCTGAGGACCAAATCTTTAACACATGGGCTTTTTGGGGACACTCCAGATCCAAACTATAGGGGTCCTTTCCTCCAGAGCAATTGGGTCTCACCTTCAATCCCAGATACCTCCCACTCCCAAAAAAGTGTGGTTTTGTCATTTTCTTGGTTGCTAATTCAACAGAATCATGTTGCCATTTCCCTTCGCACCTTCAACATGTGCCATTAATTTCTTATATATCTGATAAACCAACAGGTGAAGATATTCTTATCTAAACTTGTACTTCTCTAGTGACTGCACAGGCTTGGATGGGTGAGTGTTGGGGGTCTCACCTTGGCCACATATCAGAGTCACTTGGAAGATTTTTAAATGCCAATGCCCAGGCCACATCCAGGCCAATTAAACCAGACTGCCTGGGGAGGGCCTGAACATCAGATTATTTGAAATGCTCAGGGACATCCTGCTGTACTGTACTGGACATGCCTCATCACTGCCCCTGAGGCAGGCTCCCTGCCTTTCCAGACCACTCCTCACTGCCTATCCTTAGTGACCACCACAGACCAGTATGGAGAGATCAGGCCAGGTGAGGATGGAAGCATAAAGACAATTTTCACATGTGCAAGAGATAACCTGAAGCCTCCCTTCAGTGGGATCTTTCCCATAGCCCAAGGTTCACACTCTGGGAAAGGCAACTCCTTCCAGGTGCCTCCTGGGCACACTCAATTCCTGATTTGCCCCAAGTCCTGCTTCTGGCTTGTTGCCAAAGCTACCTCCAGCCCCTGTATATTCTCAGCCAGAGTATGGATCCCCCTTGTGCTAGGTCCTGAGCCCTCCTGTGTTGACACCCTCTCTTCCCCTCAGCTCTTTATTCTGTTTATTCTCCAGAAACACCTTCCTACTCTCTAACACACACAAATAAACACACCACACTCACCAAACACTTACAACACAGAGTGGGCACTTAATTTCTGAGACAGGAGATCATCTCAGAAACAGAAGAGTGCTTACTTTGGCGGCACATATATTAAAATCATAAGCAGCAGGGCTGGGGATGTGGCTCAAGCGTAGCTCACTTGCCTGGCATGCGCAGGGCGCTGGGTTCAATCCTCAGCACCACATAAAAATAAAATAAAAGATGTTGTGTCCACCGAAAACTAAAAAATAAATATTAAAAAATTCTCTCTCTCTTCTCTTAAAAAAAAGTCATAAGCAGCAGAAAATCCTGTCTCCAGTTGCCCCCACCCCCACCAATGGCAGGCCACTTCTCCCTGGAGTACAGGGCAGAGCAGATGAGTGTCCCTTCCCATCTCTTTCACCACCCAAATCACCCGGCATGGACAGTTTTCATAATGGTAAGCCCACATGTGGTCCCAGCAGACACTTGTCTGCAGCAGACACCACTCAAGGGCCTGGCCAATTTCTAAGCCAGGCAATTTCTTTTAGCATCACTTGAAGGGAATTCTTTGCACAAATATTTGTACACAGTTGCCCAGGAGTTTGAATATTCAGGTCTGAAGGATTATTAAATATTGCCTTTGCCTCTCCAGGAGAGGAGGAAGGCTCTAAGGTGAGCCCAGGTACCCTGGCCCAGACAGGAAGGACATTAGGAGAAAAGAGGGACAGACAGTGGGAAGGGACTTTCAGGCAAAGCTGTGCCTTGAGGAGAGGAGGAGCTGGGATCACAGATGTGGGACACAGAGCTCTAACCCTGCTGGTAGCAGAGGAGTAGGGAGAGAGGGGGCACACCCAAGTCTTCTCATGGTGGTGTGGTGTGAAGGGATTAAGTCTTCTCATGGTGGTGTGGTGTGGAGGGATTAAGGAAGTTCTGTAGGCTTGGATGGGTGAGTGTTGGGGAGTCTGAGAGGAGAGGGAGGCCAAAAAGATGACTGGGCTAAGTCACTAGCCTCTTCCTCTCAGCTCTGTGCCCTCAGTCAGTCAGAACTGGGGCAGAGAAAGGGCCCATAGAAGATAATAAAAAAGGCAGGGGTTGGGGACAACGAGGAGAGAAAAGCCACTGGCTGGTAGTACAGGGCTGGAGGAGTATACAGTTCAGGATTGAGGAGGGAAAAGAATTGCTGGATCAACATGTAGTTTGGGCTGGGCACACTCAAGAGCTCAGGAGGCTGAGGCAGGAGGATTGCTAGTACAAAGCCCGCCTCAGCAAAAGTGAGATGCTAAGCAACTCAGTGAGACCTTGTCCCCAAGTAAAATACAAAATAGGGCTGGATGTGGCTCAGTGGCTGTGTGGCTCAGTGCCCCTGAGTTCAATCTCAGATACCCCCACCCCACAAACAAGTGTGGTTTTGTCATTTTCTTGGTTGCTAATTCAGCTTCCAGAGCCTCTTCTACAAATTGCCATTTCCCCTCGCACCTTCAACATATGCCATTAATTTCTTATATATCTGATAAACCAACAGGTGAAGTTATTCTTATCTAAACCTGCACTTCTCTAGTGTCTGCACAGGTTTGGAGATTTGGTCATAATTGTATGAGAGAATTACTCAATTGTGTTTCTTTGCCAATTCTTCTATTAGATCATTGTCTCTTTCTTGTTTATCTGTGGGTAATGTTATCCCCCCCCTTTTTTTTGCTTTAGCATTTTTTTCGATTTATAATTATGAGAATCAGTCTTAATTTAAAAATATCACGCTTCCCTCATTTTGCTTTAATTTTTAAACACATTTTAAATTTGCATGTGGTCCAGTTAGCCCTTTCTCTTTTTTTTTGCTTTAGTATTTTCAAGTTAACTACAATACTTAGATCATAAAAACATTGATATTTTTTCAAGAACGGTTTTGGTTTCTTTTTCAGATTTAAATGTTTGATCCATGTGGAATTTATTTGGTGTTAAGCAGTGAGGGAGAGCGCCAATTTCCACTTTTCCAAGTGGCGCCAGTTGTCTCAACATCATTCCGCTAGAAAACTTTCCGCTGCTACCTCACGAGCACACGTGGACCCTGCAGGCGGCACGGTCCTGAAGTCCCACCCATCCGGGGCACACGTGGGTCCGGAGCCCTGCCCAGCCCCGCCCACTCCGAGAACAAGGTCCCTCTCCAGAAAAGGATAAGGCTCACGCTTCCGGTTGCGGCGAGCCTCCCCGCCCCTTGGCCTGCAAAGCAAATCGGGACCTTCCGGGAGGGTAATTTAAATAGAAGGCGTGCCCTCGGTGGTTATTTGCATAGAGGCGGGGCCTCTGGAACGGAACTCTGGACCGCCACAGGGCTCCTACCAGACTTAAGGGCGAATTCCATGGGGACCCCATTTACATAGGGCGGGGCCTTCTGTGGCGCCACTTCCTCCTCCAGCCAGCTTTAGCCTGCTTTCCTTCTGTTGTCGCCCACTTTCCTTCATTTTCGCTCTCTTTCCTTACGGATATCGGCCCCTTTTCTTCCTCTCATAGCCCGCGTAGGTGTCCAGATGCTCCCGAAACGGCGGCGAGTGCGGGTCGGCTGTCCCGGTGGTGCTGTCACTTCCTCCACTTCGCCCTTAGTGCTCTTTCCCGGCGTCGCCATCTACCTGGCTGAACCGCGCATGGGCCGTAGCCGCCGGGCCTTTCTCACACGCCTGGCGCTGTCGAAGGGCTTCCGTGTCCTCGAAGTCTACAGGTGTGCCTACCTCTGCGTGGGGCACTGCGAAGATCTGATGTTGGTGTGGGGCCGGCTAAGCAGGCTTTTTCGCTGGGCCCGTTCAGAGACCCAGGTGACACATAGCATGCTCCTGCGGGGCGGCTGCACCTGCGTTATTGGATTCCAAATTATCTGTGGCTCTTTGGTCAAGTAATCTTTCTTGAAAGGGATTTTTAAAAATTTTTAGGTACTGGGTATTGAATCCAAGGGCCCTTTACTGCAGAGCTACATCCCCAGCCCTTTTTATTTTTATTTTTTTAAAGATAGGGTCTTGCTAAGTTGCAGAGGCTGGCCTTGAACTTTTGATCCTCCTGTGCCAGCTTTCCCAGTCACTCAGATTACAGGCATAGAGCCACAATCCCAGCAAAGTTGCTATTAAGATTGCTAGGAATGTTCCACAGGATTATTGACAATCAAGCCAGAGGCTTTTCAAAGAGCCATTCAGGGGAGAGGTAATTACAAGTAGTATTTGCCCACGTGCCCTAGAAGCCACATTGAGCCATCCTGAAACCTTGAACCTGGAATATAACTGGCGCTCTCATAGGGAGGCAATCAAGACAGTGCCCAGAGAGAGTAGTTTTGAGATGGGGAAGCTAAGTGGACTTGGGACCAGTGCTTCCCAAAGCTTTTATTTACTATTTTGTATTTAAACATCTCCAGGGAAGGATAGTGCACCAGACCCGCTCACACAGTGCACATGATGCAACTTTTACAATAGCTCTACCAGGTAGTAGTTATTTCTGTTTTATAGAGGAGGATGAAGGGAGACTAGACTTGCCCAAGGGCACACAGCAAGTTCTCAGGGCTGGGGTTCAGACAAAAGTATGCACTGTCCGGCATCTGTGCTTAAATCCTAGCTCTTAAATAAAGACCATGTGGTGCCAGACCATAAGGCATTCCTTTCTCTGAGGTTGAGAAGGATACAGGCAAGTCAACACAAAGCCAGGTTGGCTTGTGAGCATAACTGGAGCAGAAAACCTCAATATAAGAGCGGTGGAAATTTTCATACACCAGGAGGGGCTTGAGAAGGCTTTCTGGAAGAGGTGGCATTTGAAGAATGAAAGGCAGTCACCATGCAGAGGGGACAGCAACAATAAAAGCTTAAAGGTATGGAGCCAAACAGGAAGGTCAATGGATTTCACAGTCCTCCTCTGCCTTTGCCCAGCTCCGAGGTGACACATGTGGTGATGGAACAGACCTCAGTGAAGGAGGCCATCTGCTGGCAGAAGCACATGGCTGCTGCTCTCCCGTGCTGTCCCCACCCAGCTCTGCTGGACATCAGCTGGTTCACAGAAAGCATGGCAGCTGGGCAGCCTGTCCCTGTGGAGGACCGGCATCGCCTGGAGGTAAGACAGTTCAGGCCTAACTCAGTTGGGATAGGTGATGCGCAGCAGCAGTGCCCCAGTGCCCTCCAGAGGGCTCTGCTCAGATCACCTGGGGTGCCTGAGAATCAGCAGAGAAGCCATGGCAAGAGCTGGGGCTGGACCATCCCAGCTTCTGTCCTCACCACTTGAGGTTCACTTATGTTTAGCTTCTTCATGCCTTCCAAAGTGGGGCAGCCCCTGCAGCTGGGGCTTCACTTCTTCCTCAATGAGTAATTGGGATGATCCATGGATTGGTAGGAGCCTATCCTTGGGACTCTAGAGAGCTAGATTGCTTGTACTCAAATCCTGGCTCTACCTGTGAGCCATGAGGGAGGAGGCATGCTCCCTAACCTTGAAACTTTAGTGTCCCCAGCCCACTTGATTGTGAGGATTTGGGGAGGCAGGAAAAGTGCACTGTGAGGATTAACAGATTATTGCTACTACTCTGGTCTGAAGAGCCTTGTCCTCAGTTTGTTCTGCAATGTAGTCTGTCTGTCCCTCCATATAGGGCTCTGAACCACCAAGACCCATTGCTGTGTCTCCCTCTGCCCATGCCTGTAGTTCACTACCTCTGTCCTGTGAACTCTAGAGGGCCCAAGGTGAATGCTCAGGAGAGTCAGGACTCTGATTGCTGCCTGTTTCTGTCAGCCCTGAAGCCTCATGATCTGTGCATTGCCCTTCTGCAGGTGGTTGAGCCCAGGAATGAGCCCCCAAGCCTAGTGTGGGTGTCGATTTATGCCTGCCAGCGTCCCACACCCCTCACACACCACAATACCATCCTCTCGGTGAGTCATGTCTGTGAGAAATTTTTAGCTTTCAGGGGACAGGGACATGGGTACAGCTGGATGGTAGCTGGTAGATTGAAGCAAAGTGTCCTGCCCACTCTGCCCCTTAACCAAGGGCCTCTCCCTGCAGGAGGCCTTGGAGACTCTGGCAGAGGCAGCAGGCTTCGAAGGCAGTGAGGGCCGCCTCCTTTCCTTCCGCAGAGCAGCCTCTGTGCTCAGGGCCCTTCCTTGCCCTGTCACTTCCCTGAGTCAGCTGCAGGGGTTGCCCCACTTTGGAGAACATTCTTCCAGGGTTGTCCAGGTAGGTGTCTGCCATGTGTAGCCAGGTGAGTAGGTGGGGTGGGGAGGCCCTGGGGCCCAGTGAAACAGCCACGAGTCCTGGTATTTCAGACCCCAATGTGGAGAGACAAACATGCACAAAGATGCTGCTCCAAGACCACCACAGCCCACCTTTAGCACAGATCCCTTGTGAGTCACTTACCTCCCTCAGAGTGCCTGAGAGGACTCGATAAAGGGAGCTTCTGGCATTGGTGTCATTGTCATTTGTCCCAAACTGCCCAGGGTGGGGGAAGAGAGCAACCAAGTGTAAGTTTTTGAAAACCCACATGTTAAGCTGCCCTTCTGTGCACTTTCACTGTGAGAGCACAAAGTAAACAAAAGATGCTTTTAGATAAACTGATACATGTTTTTAAAAAGAAAATGTTTATAGATCCTGGAGCTATTTTATCTGAGAGATGACCAGTATTACCTGGGACCTAAGCTGTTGTAACTCTAACCTCAAGGAGCTTTGAAGCTAGAGCCCCATCTCATCCCCCAGTTGTGTGGCAGCAGCTTTTGTCACTGCCCTGGGCACACTGTCCATTGCCAAGTCCCACTGTATCCTCATATCACAAAGCCCCTGTCTGTAGGGTGTGGAAAGGACCCCCAGCCCCTACCCTGACTGCTGTTCTCTTTCCGGTTCCTGTGGCTCAGTGTTTTGCTTTGTCTCCTCCCCCAGGAACTGCTGGAGCATGGAGCATGTGAGGAGGTGGAGAGAATTCGTTGCTCAGAGAGGTACCAAACCATGAAGGTGCGCAGGGAACTTGACAAGGGTGCACAGCACTGTCCAAAGCACTTACAAGGGAGGCAAGCAGGGGTGGCTGATCCAGCTCTGGGGTCAGAGAAGGTCTTACTGAGGAAATGGCAGCTAAGCAGACACCTGATATGCTCTGGCCACCAAATGAAGACAGGCAGAAGCCTGTTTTGAGCATGGGGAGTTTTCTAGATCACTGAGAGCACCATCTGTTTTATTAGACTGTTTTTGACAGACTAATTTTAAGCATATTAGCACACTGAACAAACTATAACCTATTCTTGGGTGCTATAGGACCCAAGTTGTGTGTAGTAGGGCTGCCACTTTACACTGTGCTTTCTGTGATCTTGTGTGTTACTTTTTCTATACTGTGGGCCCACCTGTCTCCATGGTGCATCTTCCCCCTGTGCCTGCTCACTGCTAACCTGGTAGGGAGGCACCTCCAACACTTCTGGATACCTCAGTTTATCTTCTCAGACATTCCAAAATTCCTGGGAAGAGTCTGAGTGCTTGGCCCAGTGGCAGGTGAAGTGCTTGGCCCAGGGTCCTCTGAACTGGTCCATGTTCAGACCCTCTCCACTCCATCCCTTTGTGTATGGGTGAGAGCAGCACCCACCATCCTGATGTTCTGGAGGCTTGAGTAAACCCAGCTAGCCTATCCAGTACATTTGCTGAAGCCACTCTCTCATTTATTAACTCCATGTTGTTTTTGCTGTTTCTTGAAGAGAACCATAGACATAAGTTCCAGCTGCTGTAAGTGGGAGAGGCATGGTTTTCCCAGTGAACCAAGAGATGTATTAAGATGACTCTTGGTTCTGTTGGAAGCACAGGCTGGACCTATGTTTTAGTAGAGGGGTGAGGAAATAGCTTACCAAGGTCTTTCCTCAGCTTTCAGCAACTGGGCAGCAAAGCCCCCAACATACTGCCTCTCCTGGGGCTTCTGCCATGGTGTGTGAGTTCACTCCTCTGTGTTAATGGGCTGGGCAGGCCAGACACTGGGTTTGAGTCTTCAGCCCATGATCTTGGGCATGAAGGCAACACCTCAGGTGCATCTTCCTGTGGGTGCTTTGTTCCTGTTCCAACTGTTCCTTCCTCTACATAGCTCTTCACCCAAATCTTTGGGGTTGGGGTGAAGACTGCCAACCGCTGGTACCAGGAAGGGCTGCGAACCCTGGATGACCTCCGAGGACAACCTCAGAAACTGACCAAGCAGCAGAAAGCAGGTGAGTCCCCCAGAGAGGACTGGCCTTGGGCTTCCACAAAGTCATTTGGATCTGGAAAGTTCTGTACACTGAAGCCCTCATACTGGCACTGGATGTACTGATTGCATGAGTGGCAGAGGTGGGTGGTGCAAAGGGGTCCTGGTATCAGGTACGTGGACTTCTTGGAATTTCTCTACCTGAAGTCAGATTCTGCTGTGGCTCTTTTAGTGAGCAGTTGTGGTCACAGCAGTGCTGTGACCTCTAGGACCCATGAGGCTCCCTCTGGTTAGGCTTGGACTTAGGTGAGGGACAGCCTGGGTCTTGACCCACCTATCCAGGATGTGCCTTGTGCATATGGGTCAGCTGAGTCCTGCCCACCATTTTCCAGGTATGTGACCATGGTCCCAAGACTAAACTCTCTGAATCTCAGTTACCTTTTCTGTGAAATGGGAGAAATGACAATGTGGAATGCCATAAACTCCTCTGTGATCCAGCAGGTGGCAGGTATTAAGCAGACACTCATTCGGCCTGTGTGTCCTGCCTGGTGCTGCCACCATACTGTCTGGACCTAGCCTGGTTGAGGGCTTTGCTAAAGGCACCATAACCAGCAGTATGCCCATTCCCCACCTCTTTGCACATCTCCCTGGGGCTCCAGCATAGTGCAGATGACAGTCAGAGAAACCTACTTTTTTTAACCTGTTCTCAGGACAAAGGTAGATAGTATTACCATCCATTGTTTACTAAGGACTTGTTCTGTGCTGGATGCTGCTGTTCTTCACATTTAAATCTTTCTTTAACTACATGTGGAAGGTACGATGATATCCCCTTGACAGGTGAGGAAATAGAAGCAGGCTAAAAGATGGGTTTCTATTGGTAGAGTTACCTTCTTCACACTTTTTTGCCACCTTTTTGTTGCATTTTATTTATGGGAAAACAGAAGGCTTAAAAGAAATATCTGCAGCCTGCTTGTGTCAACATCAGTACCCTTAGATTGAGTTCTATGAGATTTGTAAGGTGTTACCTTTGAGGGGAACTGGGTAAAGGGCACAGAGACCCCCCACCTCCCTCTCTCCCCCCTCCCCCTTTCCCCCTCCCCCTCCCTCCCTCCTTCCTTCCTTCCTTCTTCCCTCCCTTCCCTCCCTCTCTCCTTCCTTCCTCCCTCCCTTCCCTCCCTCCTTCCTTCCTCCCTTCCCTCTCTCCCTCCCTCCCTCCCTCCTTCCTTCCTTCCTTCCTTCCCTCCCTCCCTCTCTCTTTCCCTCATTCCCTGTCTCCCTCCCTCCCTCCCTCTCTCTCTCTCTTTGGGGGCGGTACTGGGGATTGAACTGAGGGGCACTTGACCGCTTGACCCATCCCCAACCCTATTTTGTATTTTATTTAGACACAGGGTCTCACTGAATTGCTTAGTGCTTTGCTTTTGCTGAGGCTGGCTTTGAACTTGCGTTCTTCTTGCCTCAGCCTCCCGAGTGCTCAGCCCAGCTGAGCATCTCTTTTAATTCCCATGAACTGCGTGTGAATCTACTAATTATCTCAAAATTAAAATTTAATATTTAAAAGGGGATAGTGTCATGCTTCTATTGGGATCACTCAGCTTCTGCCATAGCCTGTCCCTCCTCAGAGGCTTTTCCCTATCTCACAGCCACAGGGATGGGTGACTGCCTGATACTAGAGGATGGGGCTCTGTGGGGAATGCAGGCTGAGAGAGTCAGGAGGACTGTGCTGCCCACAGGGCTCCAGCATCACCAGGACTTAAGCACTCCAGTTGGACGGCCTGATGCTGAGGCTCTGCAGCAACTGGTAGAGACAGTCGTGGGCCAGGTCCTGCCTGGGGCCACTGTCACGCTGACTGGTGGCTTTCGAAGGTAAGGGGGTTTGACATACCCTTCTGGCTCACCTCCAGGACTCTCCCCAATGCAGTTGGGGACATTGAGGTGGCTTTCCCATTCACTGGGAGGGGCATGGCCCATAGCTGGAATGAGGGCTATGTCCTTATCCTTCTCAGGGGCAAGTTACAGGGCCATGATGTGGACTTCCTTATCACCCACCCTGAGGAGGGCCAGGAGGCAGGGTTGCTGCCGAGAGTGATGTGCCACCTGCAGAGCCAGGTGAGGGCTTCTGGTGCCTCTGCCCAAGAATTGACTGCTACCTGGCCTTCTGTTCTCCTAGTACCATGGTGGTGCCTGGCCACATCTGCCTTTCCCCACAGGGCCTTATCTTGTATCATCAGCACCAAGCCAGCTGCTTAGAGACCCCTACTCACCTTGTCCAGCGGAGCCATACCATGGATGCCTTTGAGAGGAGTTTCTGCATCTTCCGCCTGCCTCAACCCCCAGGAGCTGCCTTGGGGGGTGTCCTGAAGCCTTGCTCAGCGTGGAAAGCTGTGAGGGTAGATCTGGTGGTTGCTCCCATCAGCCAGTTCCCTTTTGCTCTGCTTGGCTGGACTGGCTCTCAGGTAGGTTGTGTGCTGCTGAGGCTGCCAGGGCTGAGGTGAGCCAACCATACTGAGGGCAGTTACTCCCCCCAGCTTTTTGAGCGGGAACTGCGCCGATTCAGCCGGAAAGAGAAGGGACTGTGTCTGAATAGCCATGGACTGTTTGACCCAGAGCAGGTATGTCAAGGATTAGGGTGGGAAACAACCCCCTAGCCTGCTTCCTGGATCACAGCCTGAAATGGCCCTAAATCTCTCCATCCTGGAACCCATGGTGCCCAGATCTTGGTCTTACCTCCCAGATCCTAGCCCTCCCCAAAAGGCATCTTGCCTTAGCACTGGGCTCTGCCTCCCCATCTAGCCTGTCTCCAGGGGAGCCATCCTGGCTGGGCACCCTGTGCATTGTGCAATGGTGCCACTGGGCATGGCCCCCAGCTTCTGAAGCCTCTGCTTCTGTTGCAGAAGACATTTTTCCATGTGGTTTCCGAAGAAGACATTTTCAGACACCTGGGCCTCAAGTACCTTCCCCCAGAGCAGAGAAATGCCTGATCCAGCCCATCTGCCCTCACTCCTCTTAGGAAACGGGGGGCTGCTGGACACTTTTGAATATCTCCAGGCAGAAGATACGCTGCCACGCCATATCCTCATCTCCAAGTGGAAGAGTCTTTACCTGTGGGAGCGTCTGTGAGGCGCGGCCTTCCTCACACTCCAGCCTTATAGCTGTGTGATCATGGTCAGCATTCAGCCTCCCCAGGCCTCAGGTTCCCACCTGGGTCAGGAAATCTGAGCAGTACTCAAGTCATGGAGCTGTGGCAGAGCCTGCAGTCCCAGTGCGGCAATTGAGGTGTGGTTGAATGTCTTCTATAGGGCACCCCACTCAGTTGCCCAGAAGAGAACCGTGTATCCCTGCCCTGCACTTGAGCCATGAGGTGGAAGCTGTAGTTCTTGCTCTTAGGAGTCCTCTGTGGAGGTTAAAATGGGTATGCTGCAATCACCTGGAATGAGTGAAGGTCCAAGTCACGAGAACTTCCAATGCTGGGATTTTGGCACTGCAGCCCCTACCCTGCTTCTGCCTTTAAGTCCTATACTCTCCCTACTTCAAAACAGGTCACACCCTGCCACTTCTTGCTCATAGTCCTGCGGCATTCCAAATCCCCAAATCCTCATGTGATCCCCTAGGGTTCTAGCATTTCTGCCACCCCTGCCAATCTCATCTGCACTCTTCTTTCAATACCCCCCGCCCCACCCCTCATTTGCTTCCTGTTTCACTGTTTCCTACTGATGTGCTCAGACCCCATGTCTCTGACTCCCTCCCCTTTCTAAGGCAGAAACACTGAAATGAGCTGGACACACAGGTGTCCTGTGTGTTCCCTGATCTCCTTCAGGGCCTTTGCCTTTGCCACTCTTCGCCTCCTTCAGGACTTGACTCAAGGTCATCTTGTCAGTCACAGCTTCCCAGACTACTCACCACATCACAAAGTGTTTTTTAAATTAACATGCAATAAAATGCTATCTTTTAAGGTTTGTTTTTAATGAGCTTTAACACAGGTATAGACTCTGCCATCTCAGGACCCAAAGGTCTGTCCCCCAAGCATTGCCTTATGCCATTGCATTATTGCCACATGTTCTTTATCCCAACTCACTCATTTTGTTCACTTATCTACAATTTTGCCCTCTCCAGAATCTCATAGAAGTGGAACCAAATTCTCCCTTTTACTTGCCTCTCTCTCATCATGCCTTTGAGATTCACTCAGGTTTTTGCATATATTGATAGTTTATTTTTATTTATTGCCACATAATATTACATTCATGGGGTGTTCCAGGATTTATCTGTTCAGCTACTGAAGAATGTTTAGATTGTTTCCAGGGTTTGGTGATTATGAATAGAGCTACTGTAGCCATGTGTATATAGATTAGTGGGTAACATACCTTTTCAGTTCTCTTGGGTAAATATGAAGGTATAGGAATATTGGGTTATATGAAAAGTATGTTTTTAAGAAAGAGCTAAATTGTTCAGAATGCCTGTCATTTTCCATTTTATCAGCAGTGTGAGCCACCCATATAAGTTAAACATTTCATAGTAGCAGTTACTGTGTATCTGTCAGCAATTGATAATTTTGGTTTTTATTTTAGCTGTTCTATGATAGGTCTGTAGCACTAATTAACTGCCTTCCTTTTTTTTTTTCCCCTTTCCCTTCCTTTCTGGGGATTGAAACCACGGGCTTGTGAAATAGTAAGCTCACACTCTGCCATTGAGCTATAATCCCAGCCCATTTATTATGGTGGGTTTTTTTTGGTGTGTGTGTGTGTGGCAGGACTAGGGTTTGATACCAGGGCCTTGCAAATGTTAGGCAAGCACTCTACTCTGGGCCACATCCCCATCAATACTTTTATTTATTTTTATGTGATGCTGAGGATTGAACCCAGTACCTCACACATGCTAGGTAAGCACTCTAACACTGAGCTACAACCCCAGCTCCCCATCCTTTTTTATTTTGGGATAAGGTCTCTAAGTTGCCCAGACTGCTTTGAAGTTTCAATCCTCTTACCTCTGTCTCCTGAGTATCTGGGATGAAGGCATGACCACCGTGCTCAGCTGTTATTTTTTTGTTTTTGTTTTAGGAGCAGTCTTTTATTTATTTATGTTTGCAGTCTTTTGTTTTTATACACTTTGACAAAGAGGTTTTCAGGAGGCAATCTTTTCAGTGGAAAATAGAGAACATGAAAATTTGCCTCCAGCTATCAGTAGCTGCTCTGTTCAGAGTCTGTCATCCCACTTGCTCAAGGAATGAAGTGGAGGGGTGTATTTCCCTTCCTTTCCTAGCTGATTTCAGTACTTTATCCTCCCAACACCTGTACTAGGGTTTGAACCCCAAGGGGTGCTTAACCACCGAGCCACATCCCTAGTCCTTTTTTATTTTTTATTTAGACAGGGTCTTACTGAGATGCTTAGGGCCTTGCTAAATTGTTGAGTCTGGCTTTGAACTCATGATCCTCCTGTAACTGGGGTTACAGGTCTGCCCTCGAATCCTACTGCTTCTTGATGGTATTCATGTGTTTTGTCATTTTCTGCCTAAGCATATATTCTGTGAAATCAAATCTGTTTTGTACTCTATGCCTAGATGTTATTGGTTTTATGTGCACATGCTCTCCATTCTTTTTCAAAAGCATGATATTGAATAGGAACTTTGGATTGTCATCTAATGGTCTATATTAAGGCCCAGCCTTTTCTGCACATCAGAAAAAGGCATGGCACTTGGTTCACACCTGTAATCCCAGGAACTCGGGAGATGAGGCAGAAGGATTGCAAGTTTGAGGTCTCAGATTTTTTAAAATGACAGGGATGTAACTCAGAGGTAGCACTCCCCTGGGTTTAGTTCCCCCGCAAAAAAAGGGGGAAAAAATGGCATGACATCCTGCCATACAGCCCTTATCTTCTTGCTGCCACTGCTTTCAGTGGAAGTTTAGATTGTTAATTTGAGATCTTTCTTTTTTCCTAATATAAGCACGTAATGCTTTAAATTTCCCTCTGAGCATTACTTTAGCTTCATCCTACAAATTTGATGTATTGTGGTTTTTTTGGTGGGGGAGATGGGTACTGGATATTGAACCCAGAGGCGCTTAACCACTGAACCACATCTCCAGCCCTTTCTATTTTTCATTTTGTGACATGGTCTCAGTAAGTTGCTTAGGACCTCACTAAATTGCTGAGGCTGGCTTTGGACTTGTGATTCTCCTGCCTCCACCACTCAAATTGCTGGGATTAAAGCTGTGTGTCACTGTGCCCACGGAGTATATTTTTATTTTTTATTCAATTGGAAATGTTTCCTTTTTTGGTGGGGGGAGGAGGGTACCAGGGATATTGGACCACATACTGAGCCCCATCCCCAGCCTTTGTTTGCATTTCATTTAGAGATTGTCTCGCTGAGTTGCTTAGTGCCTTGCTTTTGCTGAGGCTGGATTTGAACTTTCGATCCTCTGCCTCAGCCTCCTGAACCACTGGGATTACAGTGTGAGCCACCATGCCCAGCAAAAATGTTTTCTAGGGCTGGGGATGTGGCTCAAGCGGTAGCACGCTCGTCTGGCATGCGTGCGGCCTGGGTTCGATCCTCAGCACCACATACAAACAAAGATGTTGTGTCCGCCAATAACTAAAAAATAAATATTAAAAAAACTCAAAAAAAAGTGTGGGATAATATTAAAACAAATACACTTTGAAAAAAAAATGTTTTCTAATTCTTCTTGAGACTTTTTCCTTGATCCATGGAATATTTAGAAGAGTGTGTTCTGTTTCCAAGTGTTGGAAGGTTTTTCCCATTTATTTATATATATATATATATATATATATATATATATATATACACACACACATATATGTATATGTGTGTATATGTGTGTATATGTGTATATATGTGTGTATATGTGTATATATGTATGTGTATATGTGTACATATGTATGTGTATATATGTACATATGTGTGTATGTGTATATATGTATACATATGTGTATGTGTATATATGTATACATATGTGTGTATGTGTATATATGTACATATGTGTGTATGTGTATATATGTATACATATGTGTGTATGTGTATATATGTATGTATATATGTGTGTGTATATGTATATATATGTGCGTGTGTATATGTATATATGTATGTATGTGTATATACGTGTATATATGTATGTATGTATGTATATATGTATGTGTGTATATGTGTATATATATGTATATGTGTATATATGTATAGGTGTATATATATGTATAGGTGTGTATGTGTGTATATGTGTGTGTATGTGTTAATTGACACTATTGTTCACATCTATATCCTTATTTATTTTCTGTCTAGTGAATTACTAAGAGGAGACTTGATGTCTTTTTTTCTTTTTTTGGTATTGGGAATTGAACCCAGGGGCACTTTACCACTGAGCTACATCCCCAGAATTTTTTATTTTTTATTTTTGAGAGAAGGTCTTGCAAAGCTGGCCTTGAATTTGTGATTCTCCTGCTTCAGCCTCCTGAGTCACGTGGGATTATGGTGGGGTTATGGAAGTGACCATACCCAATCTGAAGTCTTAAACTATAATTGTAGATTCCTTCATTTCTCCTTTCAGTTATTTCATATTGTGATTCATGTACTTGGAAGCTCTGTTGTAGGAATTTTTATATCTTCTTAGTATCATTGTTATATAATGTCCTTTTATTCCTAATATATTTTCTTGTTCTGAAATCTACTTTGTTTTTTTTTTTTTTTTTTATTTTTTTTTTTTTTTTTTTTTTTTTTTTTTAAAGTGTAACTTCCCCCATGCGATTATTACATTTCTCTTTTTTATTTTTTTTTTAATGAGAGAGGGAGGGGGGGAGAGAGAGAGAGAGAATTTTTAATATTTATTTTTTAGTTTTCGGCGGACACAACATCTTTGTTTGTATGTGGTGCTGAGAATCGAACCCGGGCCTCACGCATGCCAGGAGAGCGCGCTACCGCTTGAGCCACATCCCCAGCCCCCTGAAATCTACTTTGATAGAAATATATCTGTTCCAGCTTTTGATTAGTGTTTGAGTGATATATCCTTTTCCTTCTAACCTACATAATTTTTGCCTTTTTTGGGGGGTGGGTAGGTACCAGGGATTGAACTCAGAAGCACTGAACCACTGAGCCACATCCCCAGTCCTATTTTCTATTTTATTTAGGGACAAGGTCTCACTGAGTTGCTTAGTACCTCGCTGTTGCTGAGGCTGGCTTTGAACTCTCGATCCTCCTGTCTCAGCCTCCCTAGCCCCTGGGATTACAGACATGTGCCACTGCACCTGGAAATATATTTTTGCCTTTTATTATTTGTTTTGGGGGTGAAATTGGACTCTGGGTCTTATGCATATTAAACATGTGCTCTACCACTTGGCTCTCAGCCTACCTTTTACTGTTTTTTGTTTGTTTGTTTGATTTTTGTTGTGCTGGGGATGGAATCTGGGAACTTGTGCATGCTAGGAAGGTACTCTATCACTGAACTATCCCACCACAATCACCTATCTGTCTTTTTCATGATAACCATCCTAGTGGATGTAAAGTGCTATTTTGTTGTGGTTTTGATTTATTTAATTAACCATTTTCTTAAATGATATAATGTTGAGCATCTTTTCCTGTACTTATTGGCTATTTATTCTTAGAATTGTCTCTTCATGTCCTTTGCCCATTTTGAACTGGGTTATTTCCCTGTTATTGTTGAGTTATAAGAGTTTTTTGTATTCTGAATACTAAACTTTTATCAGATAAATTATTTGCAGATATTTTCTCCCATTCTATGAGTTAACTTGTAACTTTCTTATGGTGTCTTTTTAAGCTCTAAAACTTTTAAATTAACCTGTGTTGGTTTTGTATACCTTTGACTTGGCTACTCAGGAGGCCAGGGCAGGAGGATCATTTGAACATATGAATTTGATAGCAGCCTGGGCAACAAAGCAAGTCTTTGTCTCAAATTAAAAAAAAAAAGGAAACAAACAATAATTATTATATTTGATGAAGTCCAATTTGTCTTTTTTTTCCCTTTGGTTGTTTTTTTTTTTAAAAAAATATCATTTTAAAGAATAATAACCATTGCTATGGTCATGAAGGTTACCTCCTAAATTTTTACTCTGATATTTAGGTTATTAATCCATTTTGAATTAATTTTTATATAGGTATATCGTAGGGATCCAATTTCATTGTTTTGCATGTGGATATCCAGTTGTCTCAGCACCATTTGTTAAAGAGATTATTCTTTCTCCATTGAATTCTTTGGCACTATTGTCAAAAATTCTTCAACTACTGTGTAAGATTTCTCCTTCCCACTGGGTTTTCAATTCTGTTCTACTAATCTATATGTCTCTCTGTCTTTTTTGTTTCTAATTTTACATTTCACACATCACCCAGTTTTTTTTTTAAACATATGTCTGTCTTATGCCAGTAGTACAGTGTCTTGATTTCTGTGGTTCTGTACAGAGTTTTAGAAATTGAGAAGTGTGAATCCTCTAACTTTATTCTTTTTCAAAAAAATGTTTTGGCCATTCTTTTTTTTTTAGAGAATTTTTTAATATTTATTTTTTTTAGTTTTCGGTGGACACAACATCTTTTATTTTATTTTTATATGGTGCCGAGGATCGAACCCAGCGCCCCGCTCATGCCAGAGGAGCGCACTACCGCTTGAGTCACATCCCCCGCCCATTTTGGCCATTCTGGGTTGCTAGATTTAGCTTTTCAATGTATGCAAAGAAGCCAGCTGGGACTAATAGAGATTGCACTGCATCAGTAGATCAATTTGGAGAGTATTACCAATTTTACTTAACAATATTGTCTTCTAATGCATAAACAGAGTGTCTTAATTTATTAAGACCTTCAGTTTTTTTTCAACAATATTTTATAGTTTTCAGAGTATTAAGTTTTACACATCATTTGTTAAATTTGTTTCTAAAGCCAGGCATGGTGCCATACACCTGTATTCCCAGCTATTTGAGAGGATGGGGCAGGAAGATAGCTTGAGCAATATAATGAGATCCCATCTCAAAAATAAAGAAGTATACACACACATGCACACACATGCATATTCCTAAGAATTTTATTCTTTTGATGATATATGAGGTGGAATCATTAATTTCATTTTCAGATTACTAAATACTAATGTATAGAAATAGTTGATTTTTGTATTCCTGCAAACTTGCTGAATTCATTAGTTCTAATATTCTTATAGTGGATTCCGTGGAATTTCCTTTCTAATCTGGATGTCTTTTAGTTCTGTTTCTTGCCTAATTGCCTTGGCTAGATCTCAGTACAAATTGAGTAGAAGTGGGGAGTACAGATCACCTTCTCTTGTTCCTCATCTCAGCTTTCATCATTAAGTATGGTATTAGCTGTTGGGTTTTTTTGTAGATGCCCTTTGTTTGGTTAAGGTTCCCTTCTATTACCAGTTTGTAAGTGTTTTTATTATGGCGGGGTTTTGAATTTTTTTGAAATTTTTTTTGTAGTTGTAGATGGACAGAATGCCATTATTTTATTTGTTTATTTTTATGTGGTACTAAGGATCAAACCCAGTGCTTCACACATGCTAAGCAAGTGCTCTGCCACTGAGCTACAGTCACAGCAGTGTTGGATTTTTTAAAATGTGCTTTCTGCATATATTGAGATGATTATGGTTTTTAAAAATTTTGTTGTTGGACAAAATATTCGTTTGATGAGTGCTGTATTCTGGGTCTGGAAGGTCCCTCAAAGGCCCATGTGTTAAATGCTTGATCCCAGGGTGGCCCTATTGGGAAATGGTGGAACCTTCAGTAGATGGAGCCTAGTGGAAGGTCTTCAGGTCATTGAGTGGTTGGTAATTATTTTAGTGCTTTCATTTGAAAAGGTATATTTTACCTTTATTCCTAGAAGCTATTTTTGCTAGATATAGAATTCTTGGATGACAGTTCATTTATTTCAACATTTAAAAACTGTTTTTACTTCTTTCTGGCTTCATGGTTTCTGTTGAAAAATCCAGCCTTTTAAAGAAGTTGTTCCCCTACAGAAAATTTATCATTGTTTTCTGGCTGATTTTAGGATTTTTCTTGTTTAGTTTTCAAAGTTTCATTATGACATATCTGGGCTTGGAGTTTTGTTTTATTATTGCTAATTTATTCTGTTAACTAAGCTGCTATTGCTGCTGTTTCTTCTTCTTTTGTTTTGTTTTGTTGTTCTGGAGATTTAACCCAGGGTGCTTTACTTCTGAGTTATACCCCAACCCCTTTTCACTGAGCTTTTTGATATGGAAGTTTATATCTTTTTTCAAACTAACATCAAGTTTATCCTTGTCATCTCCACTCTGATATTGAGCCTGTCCTAAGGATTTTAAGTTTTGGTTATTTGTATTTTTCAGTTCTAAAATTTCCCCTTCATAACTTGTTTCTTATCTTACAATTTCTTTTTTCATTCATTTTAAAAATATTTACCAATACTTTTTTTTTTTTTTTTTCAGTTTTGGCAATACTGGGGATTGAACCTAGGACACTCTTTATCACTGAGCTACATCCCATCCCCAGGCATTTTAAATTTAAAAAAATTTAAATTTGTAATCCACCTGTCTCACCTCCTGAGGAGGCCATGCGTTGCTGGGATTACAGGTATACACCACCAAACCCAGCTAGTATGTTTACCAATACTTTCTGAAGACTGGTTTAAGATAGTGCTTTATGTGACAGTTTGACAATTGACTCACCTCACTGAGAGCATCCTAATTGTCCTTTTTGTGCCATAGTGAGATTTCACTGATTTTGATACACTGGATAACTTTGGATTATATCCCGGGTATTTGAATATTATGTTGAGATGAGGGACCTTGTTTAAATCCTAAGCAGAATTTTGATTGTTTAAAGTTTAACTCTAGTTAAACTAGAGTTTTCTCAACTAGCCTGATTAGGCCTGTGTCTGCACTAGTCAGGCTTGGATCTGTAGCATACATCTGGGATCTGACCCCACATACACAGCTGGGCATTAAGCCTGGGAGCTCACATAGACTTACCCAATCATTCAGTCTCTCCCCCCCACAGGCTCTCTGTGGTAATTTACAGCTCTTCAGGGCCTCCCTTCCAAGGTCTCCAGCCAGAAATATAGAGCTTTTGCTTCCCAGCCTGCTACATAATTCCTCCATTGTGTCCAGGCCCACTGCAGGGGCAGAGGGTACAGCAGAGTTGCCCCATGCTCTGGGGGCTGTAGCTTCCCTCTCAGGGTTCAGATACCTGCTTGGTGGGCACAGACAGCCCTCACCATACCGCCATTGCCACCTCTATGAAGAAAGAGAAAAATGGAAATTCCCCAGACTCTCTAACTGTAGGGCTTCATTTCCTCCTTCCTAGACACATTCTCCAGGGGCCTTTCTGTCCACAGTAGGTATACATCCAGTTTCAAACTGCCTTCTAATCCAGGCTGAGCAATATTAGAAGAAAAAAGTAGTGACCTATTCCAATGAACTTTTGAGTGTGGTCTTTCTCATCTGCCTGCCCCTGCAGCTGATGGTCATGGTCAGCAGGGATTATAATGCAGGGCTGGAAAAGAGGGAAGGCCTGCCAGGGAGAAATCAGGACACCTGAGGAAGGCCCCCCATCACATACAACTAACCAGATTGAGCAGAGCAAAGCCACTGGTGGAACTTGGCAAACATATACCTACAACACAAGTATTGCAGACAGTGCACACAGGCACACAAGGAATAGATTTGTGCACACAATTTGCTGCACACACTTGATACGGATGTGTACTTGACTCGTACACTTAGACTCACAGACCTACATACAAGGGTGACACATGCACACATCCCTGGGCTTTTCTTGACACTGGTCCAGTTTCTTGAGACACAGGTTTGTCCCATTTAATTGAGAGGGGCTGGGGATGTACTCTAGAACATTTGCCTGGCATGTACAAGGCCCTGGAATTTGTTCCCCAGCACCACAGAGTGACCCATAAAGGGGCAGTGATGGATTGATGGGGCCGCAGAGTTCTGGCCTCAAGGATCCTCCCCCTGGAAAGCCAGCCCCCACTTGCTCCAGGCCTGACTTTTGCCCTTCACCCTGGCTCTGCTCAGCAGCCCCACCCAACCTGGGCCCTAGGCTGGTTATAGACACGTCAGCAGAGCTGGGTCAGGGGCTGGTGGTTATGTGAGGCTATTTTTAAGTCCAGCTCTGTGGCTGGCACTCCCACCCCCAGCCACTCTGCCACTACTGGCCACCTGCCGCCGCCTGTCCCGCTTGGAATGCTGATTGGCAGTTGGCTGGGATGGGGGTTGGGGACAGACCGTTATAAAGCTCAGGGTGCTAGGGAGGCAGCTGTCCCTTTCTGGAGCCCCTGTGTCTCCCTGCCACCATGGCTACCCACCGCCTAGTGATGGTCCGCCACGGTGAGAGCACATGGAACCAGGAAAACCGTTTCTGTGGCTGGTTTGATGCAGAGCTGAGTGAGAAAGGGACAGAGGAGGCCAAGCGTGGGGCCAAAGCCATCAAGGACGCCAACATGGAGTTTGATATCTGCTACACATCAGTGCTGAAGCGGGCCATCCGGACCCTCTGGACCATCCTGGATGGCACAGACCAGATGTGGCTGCCTGTGGTGCGCACTTGGCGCCTCAATGAGCGGCACTATGGGGGCCTCACAGGCCTCAACAAGGCAGAGACCGCCGCCAAGCACGGGGAGGAGCAGGTGAAAATCTGGAGGCGCTCCTTCGACACCCCGCCGCCCCCTATGGATGAGAAGCACCCCTACTATAATGCCATCAGCAAGGTGGGCTGCTGGGAAGATCCCTGGAAGGTCTGAGGTTGGGAACCTGGGTTGGAAACCAATTGCCCAGGGAGGGAACAGCAATGTCCCCGTTCCTCTCCCCAGGAACGTCGGTATGCAGGCCTGAAACCTGGGGAGCTGCCCACCTGTGAGAGTCTCAAGGACACCATTGCCCGGGCCCTGCCTTTCTGGAATGAGGAGATTGCCCCCCAGATCAAAGCTGGCAAGAGAGTGCTCATTGCAGCCCATGGGAATAGCCTACGGGGCATCGTCAAGCACCTGGAAGGTGAGGCCCACCCTCAGGAGGGTGTGGGGCAGACAGGTGGGGATGACAGTACCTTTCCTTTTGGCAGCTGAGCAGACGTGATTGAAAATAGAGGGCTGAGAAAACATTTTAAAGACCATTCTGTGACTTACTTCGTTTCTATACGTTCTGGGAAAGTTGTGGGTTTCATGGACACAGCACCCATTGGGCCAGCCTGCCTGGAGAGGTGGCACCCCCCCCTGCCCCACCATAGGAGCTTAAAAGAGGTGAGATAGGCTTGAAGGTGGCATCTTTCCCAAGGATACCCAGCTAGGAAAAGGGCCAGGACTCAGGGCACTTGGCTCCAAATCATTGCAGGGGAGCTAATGTGTGCAGGGCTCTGCTCTCTTGGGTTACCGTTCCCAAGAGAACCATGAAATTTGGTGCAGAGTTATTATTAGCTGTTATTATACCCACCCAGCCTCCAGGCATGTACTGTGGCTCCCACTAAAGAGCAAGGAAGGCTGGGTGCATTGGCAAATGCTGGTAATCCCAGCCACTTGGAAGGCTGAGGCAGGAGGATTCCAAGTTTGAAAAACAGCCTCAGCAACTTGGAGAGTCCCTAAGCAACTTAGTAAAACTCTCAAAAAATAAAAAAATAAAAAAAAAGGTTTGGGGAGGTGGTTACTCCCTGTCCCCCCCAAAAAGAGCAAGGAATGTTGACAAATGGGCCTTGAGATCTACGCAGGCAAGGGGAGGCTCCCAAGTGATGGTCTCTTCCACTAGTTCTTAGATGTCAGGACAGTCTAAATTAGCCTCTGAATGACCTTCAGGTGTGTTGAGATCATAGCAAAGGAGTGGGATGTACTCTAGATCTGTGGCTCCTATGTGCTGAAAAACCTCCCCCACCTACTCCTTCTGGGGGCTCCATAACCCCACATGCTTCAACCTGCACTAAAGGGAAGAGGCACCATGGTGTGATCAGGCACCAGGCGGGTGGGGGCGTTCCCAACTTCCCAGGGAACATTCTCTAGTCCTTCCACATGGTGGGGGTAGGGTGATGCCAATGCCAGATTGAATTGCTATTGGTGGTGGGTCCTGCAGCAGCAGGCAGGGTCAGGTTTCCACTCATTCCTCTGCTCAGAATTTAGAACCTAGAAATCAAATGGTTAGGATATCCTTCCGACCTTCAACTTCAGTCTGGCCAGTTCATATTGGGCTGAGGAAACAGTGGATAGCACCACCACAGGTCACAGCTGCTCACGGAGGATGAAGTTCATGTCTTGCCACTGGGCTATTTCTGTAGGCTGCTCAGTCTAGCTTAGTTCTGCCTTGACCTTTAGGTACATTTTTGTGGCCTTGATCTCAGGGCTGGGAGGATTAGTGCCAGGCAGCCCAGCTTGTTGGCCCCAAAAGGCCATGATGTCTGTTGTATGGAAAGGCTGTGGATAGAGAGGCTAAGGATGTTATTTTCTGGTCCAGGGATGTCGGACCAGGCCATCATGGATCTGAACCTGCCCACTGGGATCCCCATCGTGTATGAGCTGGACCAGGCACTGAAGCCCACCAAGCCCATGCGGTTCCTGGGAGATGAGGAGACAGTGCGGAAGGCCATGGAAGCTGTGGCCGCACAGGGAAAGGCTAAGTGAGGGTGGGTATGGCAATAAAGACAACTCTCTGCATATTGCCTTGAGTTCAACATGGCCAGGTATGGCAGGGTCATGGCCTACTCAGCTCACCCCATTAGCTGTGTTGACCCCAGAGACCAGTACAGCTATTCCTGGAGCCTACATCACCCAGGCACAGGAGCCTAGTGCCCAGACCTGGCTATTGGGGCTGAACCAGGGCAGTGACTACCTGTACTCCAAAGAAACCCTCAAGCTTTAAAGCCACTTGGTAACCATGTTCTTGAATTAGGGTATTTTAGGGAGAGGAGCCTAAGTGACCCAGCCCTCCCCAAAGGAAGCACAGGACAATATTTCTTGGCGAGCTTCCTTTAGAGAACAAGTGGTTCTCTACTATCTAAGCCCCACCTCCTGGTGAGCACAGACAAGCCCATGGGGCCTCACAGCTTGCAACAGGCCAGATTCATAAGGTTGCCATGGCCTGCTATCTTTATAGTAGAATGGGAGGAAGCCTAAGTAAGGGACAGGCAGGATTGGCACTGGGGAACATCAGGCTTGACCACTGCTTTCCTCTTGCAGCCTTCACCCTAGGCTGCCAGCAGGTGAGGCCCGGAATCAAGCATGCCATCGGGCACCTCCTAGGCACAAGGACCTTATTTCCCAGTTATTGAGCAGGTCTTGGGTGCCTTTCTCCATGTGTATTGTGCCATATAGCAGAAATTCCTTATGGTAGGGAGCTGCACCACCTTGGCCTTTCCCAGAGGAACTAAAATGCAGGCAGGCTCCAACTTTAGTCACATGCTAACATTTATGCCTCTCTTAGTTGACTAATTGGTCACTTAGGTCTGAGGATAGGACCGTGCATATGCATGTGCATTTTCACTCACACAAACACATCCATCCCAGACACAAAGCAGATGCAGACTTCCAGGTTGGGGTTTGTTTCCACATAGGAGTGGCAAGCTACAGCAGGTCAGACCAGAGCTGGGAGCCTGGGTACCAAACTGAAATTCTTGGATTTGTTTTTCAGACTCACAGGCTGGGATAGAAAACAGGGAGACAGCAAGGATACATCGTGTCTTTGATTTTTGACATACCCAGAAATGGGAGCTTGGTCATCCCATCCCCACTTCCCAAGGCCCAAACAGAGGGACCGAAATGGAGTGGGGCCAGGCAGGCTCCAGTAAGACAATAACTCCCTGCTGTCAAACTCATTATGGTCCACTGACTTTGGTCACAGACTGATAAAAGCAATTCTCTAAATTCACTGTTCCCAAAGGTCATTCTAAATAGTTGCAGCCACCATCCTTTAGAAGCCAGAGAGAAAGAAAAGGCAAATGCAGAAGGCTGTTCCAGATGCTCCTGCTCAGAGACCTGGCTTAGCAGTACTTACTCTTTTCAGGCAGAGATTACCTGGGGGCTCACTATGGTGGGGCTTAGCTTAGTGTCCCACAGATGTGAAGAGCCACACTAGTGGAAGGATCTGGGAAGTTGCAGGAAGTGTGTTTGTGAATCACTGGGTTATTGCTGCATCTGGGGTGACAGAGGCTGAACCACCCAAGCCAGAGGAGCCCTGAGGCCTTTTCCTCATTGTGGTTCCATTCTTGGAAGTCCCAAACACTGACTCTTGCATCTTCTCTTTTAACAATAAGGAAGCCACATCTGGGTGGGGAAGGGAAAGATGGGCTTCAGCCTCATTCAATGAGCTCCACGTAGTTGGCAGGGAACATGCCAAAGTGGCCATCGGGTCCATAGCCACGCCACCAGCCTTCGTCGATCACCTCGATGCCAGTAATGAGGTTCTCAGGATCAAAGGAGATCTCAGTGTCATCCGCTGCAGGAAGATTAAGCCCAGGTGCTACATCAGGGGCCCTGCTCACAAGTCCCCAATACTTGTGTGCCTCTTGGGCAGCCCCGTCCCCTCATGCACTAGAGCTCAGGGCTGTCTGCTTTCTCCTTGGTCACATCCCATTGTCATACAGACCATACAGAGCCTAATAGTACTGCAATGCCTGCCCCCTACACCTGGGAACATCTTCCTACAGAGCACTTCTACAAAAGGCTGCTCCCCAAAGACCCTCAGCCCTTTCCCCAAGGTCTCCTCTGGGAAGTCAGCTCCATTCTCTGGTCAGACCTGGAGGCTATACAAGATGGCAAATGGGGTTCCTGTGAAGGGATGGTAAGCAGCTGGCTAGAGTATGTGGGGGAGGCCCAGGCTGTCTTAGGATAGAAACTTCAGTGCCATGGTCATCACAGTTCCAGTGGGGCTTCCATCCTTAAACTTACCTCCCACCTTCCTCTTTGTTTCCCAACACCCTTGGTGCTGTCTCCCTACAGAGCCCCAGTCATTTGCTCCTATCTCCTAATCTCAGAACCCATGATCTGTGGCAGCCAGGTAGGGCACCTTACCTGCTTGGTAGTCGTACAAGGCCCGGGCACACAGCCCTTGCCCACTAAGCCCCTGGCCCTGTGTATAGTGGTCAATGTGCTCAGAGCCAGTGTCTTGCTGCTGGACCTGCTGAGAGAGAAAGATGGGATTAACCCAGACTCAGCCTTCTCACCCAGGTGGCTCAGGTCAAGTTAGGGCCTGAGAAGGCAGGGGTAACAGCACATGCAGGGTGAGCAGCAACATAAGGCTGGGGGCTACTGCTGTCCTAACACACCCGCACCACAGTCATCTCCCCAAGATATAGAGGCTGAAAGACAGTGCAAATGCCTTTGTAGCCCCAAACTGCAAGGTGCTTCCCTCACCCAGCATCAGTCACATGGGCACTGGCCCACATAACTTATAGCATGGGGCTCTTTCAAAAGTTGAATGAGAATCCATAAGTGCTTCAAAACCGTTAGTGTGTCACAGAAAACTCATGCCTGTGACTCCTTCACTGCCCCACCCCACTTCAGAGAACCCACCATTGGGGGCTCCTCGTAGAGGGCCTCTTGCTCCGGAGGCTCCTCGTACGTGGCTTCCTCTTCTGCCTGCACCAGACTTGGAGGAATGCTGGGTGCTGGCTCCTCACAGACATCTGCATAGAGGACATAGCAGGTTCTGACTCCTCTCCTTCCCACAACCCTCCCTTCTCCACCATAGTCCCCCTCCAGGGTCCCATAGAATAACAAATGCCTTGCCTGCCCTGGGCCTTGAGACAGCAGAAGTTGGCTCTCTGCCAAAGGAGGTCTCTGGTTGGGTGAGCTGTTTCTGCAGGAAGGGGCTCCTCAGCTTGCCTGCAAACCCCCACAAACAACATCCCCACCACTTCAGAACCACTTCTTGGCACCCACAAACCCACCTGGTCTGTTAAAGCAGCCCAAGGGAGCTGGCCCCAGCTAGCACAGGTACAGAGACTCCAGGGCTGTACAGAGAGATGGCAGGCAGCACAGCCATATGGGTAGGAGGAGACACCTCAGCCCGAAGCTACTCTCCTCACTTGTTCCTTGTCATTCTCCAATACACCTGTCTTGTGACCAGGCCCAGAGGGATGACCCACCTGGCTGAGGACTAGAGATGGAGGTGGTAGACATGGCCCTCTCCTTCTGCTTGAAAATCTCCCGTGGGTGTGCAGTCCGCTGATCAGAAAACACCTAGGGGAGCACACATTGACCCGAGCAGTAAGACTCAAGAGCTTCTCACCTCACTGCCCCCTACCCCAGCAAGTAGGCCCTGAAGGCTACAGCAGGGCCAAGAAGCCAAGGGGCTGATAGGGCCTCTCCCAGGACTAGGTTGCAATCCATGCCAGAAGTTTCTGCTCCTGGTTTTCCTTCCCACTGGCATATCTGATATGCCCAGATGTGTCTCAGGAATCTGAGCTGAGCCCTCAATCTGAGTTCAGGCGCTTTGACATGTGATGGATCCAAACTAGAAAGTTTCCAGACCCTTTGTGAGAAAATGCCAAGACTAACCTGCTCCTCCCTGTTCTTCGAAACCACTTCTTGCTGCTGTTCACCTGTCCTGTTGGGAAGGGCCAGAGTCGGGGGAAGACAGCTAAGGCTCTTCAGCAGCCCCTCATGCTGTACCCTCAGTCGTCCTGCCTCTGAGGGATTAAGTGAGCACACAGGGACACCCAAGGGATCCCCCCACCATGAGGCCAGCACCCTAGCCCAGTGAATGGTGGGCTTACCTTGAGGGGCTGGTTTCTCTGTGCTGCTCCTGGTAGCGCTGCTCTCGGCGGGCAGCCTCCTGCAGCTCCCGCTCCCGGCGTTCCTTTTCCAGCTGCCGCTGCTCCTCCTCAGCCCGTCGCTTCTCCTCCAGCCGGCGGTTCTCCTCCTCCTTCTGCAGGGAGGGCTGGCCACTCAACCCTACACTGACCCCTGGCCTCACCCCCTGCCTGGGACCAGGTCCCACAGGCATGTGGTTGAGGAAAGACACTACAGCACATCCCTCACATGCCTTGTGACTTAATCCACTTACGCCTTACTTTAACTACCTATAAAAGATCAGGTAGAACACTCACTACACACCTGTGTAGCATGCTTATCAGCGTGCCTGCCCCTACTCCATGGTTCTTACCTCAGCTTTGGCCCAGAAGCTGTCTTTTCCAACTCTCTTGATCTCAGATATGGCATTGGTCTTCTGGTACACAGAACCCTGTGGGGGATAGCAAATGCTAGAGACCTGGCCCTGGGTGGAAGAACAGGCCCCGAGGTACAGAGGTAGGAGTAGTGTGGAAAGGATTTATAAGAGCACGTAAGTGGACTCAGTGGGTACGTAAGAGCCTGGCCCTTCACCCTCAAGGAGATAGATATCACGTGCCCAGAAAGAGGCCCAGGAAACTGCCCCAGCAGTGATGCTGAATCCCAAGAACACTGGAGGGGTCTCTGGTGGCACCTAGCCCTTGTGCATGGGGGCCAAGGCAGGAAAGGTCCTGTCTGCAGTCTCCTTGGGACCAGGTAGTTCTAAGGCAGGCCTCTGGCCAGGGCTACCCCTTAGAGAGCTGACTGTCACAGCATTGTCCACAGGAATTACTGCAGAACCCAACTGTATGTCTGATGCTACAGTTCCCCACTATCAACTTGACCACTCAGTGTAAGGACCACAAATCTACAGGTGTCTCCCTATAATGTGGGTAGGTAGGGCTCTGCTCTGATGCCATCTGAACTTCCTCTACAATGGTTCCTGCTAGGGACCACCAAGGACTTACTGGCACTGTGACCCTGGGAAATGGCTGGACCATTATAGCTGTGCATTCCTGAAGAGCCTCCAGCCTGACCATACATAGCTGGCTCCAGACAAAGGCTCTGGAATGGCTGGGCCAACCAGCAAGTATGGTTACCATCTATGGAAGCCAGGCATGAGGAGTCCAACTACATAGACACTGGGAACCATATAGACTCCTGGCCCCCATCCTCAAGTACTCAGCAATGAGAGCTCAGTGATGGGCAGGCAGCACTCACCACTGGGGCCTGGGGTCCTGCATCCTGGAAGCGGCTGCTTTCCCTGTGGAAGCTGTAGTTGGCCCCGGAGGCCTTGGCCACCTTCTGCATGATACACTCAGGCTCCACATCCTCCTCTGCTCGTGCATTGATGGTCACATGGGCCCCCTGTGGCAGAAGCAGCACTTAAAGATAAGCTTTGCAAGCACAGGGGTGGATGAAAAAACTCATGTCTATCCATGTAGCAGGGGCCACCATTGCCCACAGGAGACGGCAAGGCATCTGTCTGGCTGCTGGGAATTGAGGCCCTTCCTCTCTGTGTTGTAATAGTTCCGGCTGCAGCTCAGGAGATGCCCAGTCAGCCACCAAGTTCTTCCTGAGAAGCAGACCCATGACCTCATTATCTGTTATACTAGACCCAATAACGTTTTTTTGGTATGGGGAATTGAACCCAGAGGCACTTAAGCACTAAGCCACATGCCCAGACCTATTTATTTTGACACAAGGTCTCACTAAGTTGCTTAAGACCTCACTAAGTTGCTGAGTCTGACCTCGAACTTGTGATCCTCCTGTCTCAGCCTTCTGAGTTGCTGGGATTACAGGCATGCATCACTATGCCCAGCTAGACCAAATAAACTTGGAAGCCTTTTCAGCTACTAGATGGAAACACTGAGGCATATCAGAAAACGTATTTGTAGAACTGGGAATCAAAGATGTCTCTTTGCTAGTAATCAAAGAAGTTCAAAAAGGTCATCTAGCAAGTGAACAAATAATAATTACAACATAACTGCTTTTGAAATTGAAAAAAGGTGACTATAGAACAACTGATGTGAATACTTGCAGAAATGGGCTAAAAATGAATACACTAAAATGATGTTATGGTGGTGGGCACAAGCATCCTTTTTCTTTCTCCAAATCCTGACAATGCTGCTAAACTATCTAGAGTACTTATAAACAAAACAAAACCCAGGGCCAGCCCTTCCCATTGGATCAGCTCCAGCATGATCCTTAATCCTGCTCTGTTGAGAACAACCTTCTATCTGGTCACATCCCTGCCTCCTATGTACCTCCAATGTACCTGGGTCACCAGAGGAGCAGCCTCTGCTCATGCCCTGAGAGCCAAACAGAGCATTAGTCAATAGCATGCTCCTGACTCCAGCTCCAATTCCAACTCAGATGCACCCAGGAACCTGGAGTGTTTGATCCTGTGAGGCCCCTTATGGGACAGCAGGATTGGTGTAGCCCTCACCTTCAAGAAGTTGGCCATGGTGCTGACGTGGTTGGCGCATGCTCCCTTCCGCACATCATTCACACCCTCGCCTGTCTGCAACACAAGTACATCCAGCATGACCCAGGCCTCCTCCCAAAGCCATTTCCCTTTCCACAAGTTCCCAGGCACATAGCAGCTTTCTTATCTTCCCAAACAGAATCCCCTCAAAGTAGCCATCATTCTCCCAACTGAGTCACACAATGAGTTTAGTTCTTACACCTCCAAGGAGCTCAGGAACTGTTCTCTGGGCAGGACAGCGGCTGGTTTCCACTGTGGGGGAGTTTCCTGAGCTTTCTTTTTCTTCTTTTTTTGGTACCGGGGAATGAACCCAGTAGCACTTAACCACTGAGCCTCCAGCCCTTTTTATATTTTATTTAGAGACAGGGTCTCACTAAGATGCTTAGGGCTTTGCTAAGTTGCTGAGGCTATCTTGAACTTGTGATCCTCCTGCCTCAGCCTTCCAAGCCACTGGGATTATGGCATGCACTACCGCACCTGGCTTCTGAACTTTCTTCATTCCCAATGAGGTGGGTTACGCTCTGCTGGAGCTCCTGTCCCTGCACACTCCTTAGGATTTCTGCTTCACTAAAAGGACTACCATGAAGGAAATGAGGCAGGAATTTCTTCTGTTGACTATTTTTATTTCACTTTGCAGGACTAATTCTGGGATTAGAGAATGAATTTTGTGTAGCAAGGCCAGTTATTTTGTTTATTTTTTGCTGTACTGGGGATTGAACTTAGGGCCTCACACATTAGGTATGGGCGGGCTCTACCATGGAGCTACATGCCTAGTTCTTTTTTAAATTTTTATTCTGAGACTAGATTTCACTAAGTTGCTGAAGCTAGCTTTAAACTTGTTGAGATTCCTCTGACAAGGACAGTTATTCTTTGGGCTACAATGAATTAATTAACTATTCTGCTCTTTCAACAGCTTTCAACTGTTCTGTTTAATAAATCATGCCAGTAAAATACACTGTTCCCAAAAAAAGTCAAAATAAGAAAGAAATCAAGGGACTTTCCCCTGTCATACTAGATGAGATGAGTCCACGTACCCAGTTGATGAGGACAAACTTGGGCAGGCCAGAGTTGGGGTCCTTCACCCTGCAGAAGGCATACATCACCTTCCCACTGTTGAGTTCTTCCACCAGCTCCTCCAGACCACCTTCTGCAGAGTCACAGAGAGGGTTAGAGGTGGCCAGTGTCCCTTGCCCACCCCAATGCCTGATTCATCAGTAAGGGAACCCAAGCCACTATTCACTAGGGCTTCTTACCCCATCAACCTCAGAATCATCCTTGGGAGCTGAATTTAAAATCAGGTTTCTGGGGTTAGGGGTATAGCTCAGTGATAGAGCACTTCTGGCAGGTTTAAGGGTCAGTGTCCAATCCCCAATGCCACAATAAAATAAAAATAAAAACAAAATAAACTACTTACACTAGGCTGATTTAGCATAGCTCGTGAGACCTGAGAGACTGCATTTTCTTTTGTACCAGGGATTGAACCCAGGGGTGCTTAACCACTGAGCCACATCTCCAGCCCTTTTTTCTTTAGAGACAGGGTCTTGCTAAATTGCTTAGGGCTTCACTAAGTTGCTGAAGCTGGCTTTGAACTTGCCATCCTCCTGCCTCAGCCCCCCAAGTTGCTGGGATTACAGGCATGTACCACTACTACACCTGGGTAGGAGACTGAATTTTCTGACAAGCACCTCAAGTGACTTTTTTTTTAAAAACCCACACTAGTTTAAAAACCACTCAAAGAAAACTCTGGAAATTAAAAATATCATTTCTACTACAGATCACAAACATCAAAGTGAAGGATCTCTACATCAATTTTACTGTTGCCTGGACTCCACAAAGGGCCCCAGGATAGTGGGGCTAATAAGTCACCCCCACTGGGAGCCACATGTTCACTTAGACATCAGAGTCACCCAGAGGGTCAGATCTCTTGTAACATCTCACAACTGAACAACTGGCTTGGTCCTCAGAGTCTCAGATGCTGGGAGTAGGATGGGCTGCATAAGCCATTCTCCATGACACTCATTCTCAAACCCCAAACTTCCAAAGCTGAAAGGAGGAACTGGGTCAGGCATTTTAGCTACAGGGCTCCACAGAACCTGCGCAGTCAATGCTGCATTGGTAGCATAGTCCTGCTTTGTGTCACTGGCAACAGTAGAAGGACACTCAGACTGCTGATCCCTGCAACTCTCAGGCACCTACCATGTCATGTGAGATGCCCATTCAGTGCCCATTCAGTAAAGAGGATGCATCAGTGAAAACAGCTTGTAGGAGGAAAGGCTTTCTATCAATAATTGTCACGAAAACTGTACTTGTTCCACCAAGCAGAGAACTTGTTCCAGGCACTCACTGAACAACACAGCCACGTTCTGCTCAGTACTGGGAGTGGGAGGAAGTCAGGTGAACCTCAGAGTATAGGCATGCTGGCCTTGAGCATGGGGAGGGATCAGAGTATCAGTTCGGGTTCATACCACATCATCTCTAGCTCAGCCTACTTGACAATTTCTGCCCAGTGGTGGCCAGGAGCCAGTTCTTCCTGCAGAAACTGCCCATACTGAGGTCCCCATCATCACCTGCAGTGACACTGCCTCTCCCCAGTGCTCTTGCTCATGATAAGGGCAGAGAAGAGGCAGAGGAGAAGGTCTGTGGGGCTTCTGTACTTGCACTAGCCGGCATCCACCCTGGGCACAGACTGCCCATGATCTGGAGAGAGCTGGCTACTTTCACTTGGCTTCTCCAGAAAGAGCAGCACTTCCCTGTATCCAGGGATAAAATGTTGAGGAAGAATGTTTTCACTCACAAATATCTAAAACCCAAAGCTTACCAGAAATGTCCAGTAAAGGGCCAGGACCCATGCTGCCCAGAGGACTGAAAGAGCTCTGGCCCCTAGACCTGCCTTGTGTTGGTCCATATCCTAATCAGGGGGTCAAGGAATCCCTCAATGGAGCTAATATGGGGATAGGTCTGCAGAAGGCAGGCTTCCCACTCTTACTCTCAAAGAGGGGAAATGTGACTGCAGTGGAGTCACATGCAGAGGAAACCTGTCTGCCTGAGTCCTTTTTCTCCTGCTGGGATAGCAGAAATGCCAACAAGATGGACCAGTAACAGTCAAAACCCTCTTCCTTTATACACCATATTCTCTGGCCTCCTGGTGCTAAGAGTCCATTTGAGGGATACTCACCTCCTGTGCCAGCCACACGAATGTCATTGCTATTGCCCTCGTAGGTAAACAAAGCCCTGAAATAAAACAAAAGTGGGTATAGTGGTCAGCACCCTGGGCTCCATCTGCCTTCACCACACCTACCATGGCAAATGCAGACTCTGCTTTGCCCCACTCTGACCTGCCAGACAGGTTCTCATGTCTGAGGCCATGCTGAGGCTGACTAATCACAGGACTTGCTGTGAGAGACAAAGCCATGGAGATAGGAAACACATACCTACTTAAAGGAAAATGTAAGTTGTTGAGTTTTATGATAACATTCCACACATTTATGTGTAAAATACTCATCTGGCTACCAGGTTCATGAATTTAAAAAGACAAAAGATACATATATATTTCTGAATCCAAAGCATCTCAAAGGAGAGATACATATGAGGTAGGTAAGTAGATAGGAAGGAGAAAGATGCACCAGGCAACTTGAAGGCTGCCAACACTTGGGGGTGCATCTGCCCTGCCTTAGTGAAGGGTGGTGTGGCAGGTCTCCCCCAGATAGTCTCCTGGCAAACTCAGATTTTAATAGGTGTGCACAGTATCAGAACCCACAGGGACAATGTTACAAGAAGTCAATTAAGACCAGTGACCCACCAACCTCTTACAGACAGGAACCGTGGGCAAGATGCAGACTTTCTATCTTGTGGAAACTTAACTGTCCATGGCTGACACTGGGCTGCCTTTCTTTCTGGTAATACTAATTATTTATAAGACTCTGAAAAAATTTTGGCTTACAAACTTGTGCCCCAGAGGTGGTGAGAAAAGACAGTAAATCTGACAGTTAAAAAGACAGTTAAATCTGAGCTATGAAGAACAAGGGTTACTCAAGGAGAACATTCTTGGAGAGATGGCCTTCGAGAGGCAAATTTTGCTTGAGATTCCCCATAGTGTAATCATAGTCATCAGTACCAACCATGTAAGAGCTTAACACCTCTGACAGTGCTGGTGGGTATAGGGTAGAGGCAATGATCTCTCTAAAAGAAAGTCAAAGATAAAACCCAGCCCAGTATCTGTCATCTCTCCAGCTTTGGAGGAAGAACAGACAGGATAACGGCCTGCCAATGCCACTGGGCGGATGCATATGCCTGAGAAAGATAAATCAAACCCCATGCCCAGTGGACCTGGTTAGTAGGCAGGAGGCAGACCACTAGAAAAGAGCTGCTGCTTATCAGGAGAGGAAACAGAATATAGAAGGGGGGGGGGTGGACCACAGAGAAATATGAAGAAAGATTTGGAAAGCAGTAGATGTCAGCCTGAGTTGGTGGAACTTTCTGTGGGGGGAAAGAAGGCCATTCCTCTCTCTCTCTCTCTTTTTTTTTTCCTGGTGCCAGGGATTGAACCCAGGGGTGCTTAAGCACCAGGCCTCGTGCCCAGCCATTTTTTAATGTGTTGAGACAAGGTTTTGCTAAATTGCTCAGAGCCTCACTAAGTTGCTGAGGTTGGCTTTGAACTTGCAATCCTCTGGCTTCAGTCTCTCAAACTACTGGGATTACCGGTGTGCACCACCATGCCCAACAAAACCATTCCTCTTGATGGCCACAAGGCCTGGCTGCCAGGGCACAGGGACTGGCACAAGCAGCAGGGAACAGAAGATGGCAGCTTATCTCTTCTAAGAAGAGATCTGGCAGTTAATAAGGCCAACTTGGTATCTGCCACCTATCCCTCCAACTTCATTCCCCTCTCCCCAAGTTCCACTCTAAACCACCTTCAAGACTGTTCCCAGTTCAGAGGTACATTCCCATCTCTTCTTTCAAAACATGAAAAAATCTGGTGCACTGGCCTGTGCATAGCAAGGATGTGTGGCATGTAAATAAAGCCCTTACATTCCATCATTCTTTCAAATATGTATACTAAGAACCTACTGTTTACTGGCAATAGGAATGCAACTATGAACAATCACCAAAGGCTCCGCCCATGGAACCTGCCTTCTAACAAGATAGACCACACACCTAGGCTAATGTACTGCCACAGAGTAAAAAAGGCACAGGATGGGACAGATGAACCAGATGAGCACAATCTCATCAAGATCTGAAGGGAGGGGACTAGAGACAGATCCAAGTTAGAGAGCTAATAGGGCTGTGGTTCTGGCCTTAAGGCCTGATGCAATGCCATCTGCTGTGTGAAACCTTTAATGACCCACCAAACTGGAGATCAGCTCTTCTTCCTCTGATATTCTCTACTGCTTCTTCTATATCATTCAGTCCACCCTTCATCTGACCTTTGAGTACACAAAACAATTTTGTACCAGGCACCAAGGAAAGAGACAAGTTCATCCCACCCTTTTTAGTGAAGAGATAAAAGCGACAAGAAAATCCACAAGGTATGTAAATGAAGGAAGTGAAACTAAAGGAGAGGAAAAGGTGATTGTAGTCAGGGAGCTCGGAATTCAGAAAGGTCTCTGAGAAGGAAACCTCAGAGCAGAGACCTGAAGGCATGCCCATACCTGGGATGATGAGGAAGTGTGCTCCAGGCAGAGGAAGTAACAAGAGCAAGGGCTCTGAAGAGGAACCAGATTATAAATTTGAGGAAGAGAAAGGCAAGGGTAGAGTAGTAGTGAGCAGGTGTGGCCACAGTGTGGTAAACAGGAGGCAAAACAGGGTTATACAGGGCAAGTCAGTGGGGTGGAGTCTGGGCTTTATTCAGTGTGCAACGGGAAGTCACTGCAGAGTTATGGATAGGGAAGTAAGACAGTCCAGATCTTTTTCAGCTAGTGAAAGGGGACCTGCCTCAGTTTGTTGAGTAACTACCTAAATGGCTGTGACAATTAGGGTTGGAGGCCAGGGGCTCATGCAATTGACACAATCTGCAGTCATTCAGGAGCCTGGAGGTGAGTAAGTGGGCAACAGCATGGCTATCCAAGCAGAGTATGGTAAGAGGAGGCTAAGCACCTTTAGGAGGAATACAGAGTAGATGGGACAGATCAGAACCAGGCTGTGGTGGCAGTAGACAACTTTGGTAAGAAACCCAAGAAAAGACTAGAAACAAGGGAAGTCTGCATTACCAGCTGGGCTGTGAGGTATCACACCCAAACCAGTGACAGTTCGCCAGGCATAGTGGCACATGCCTGTAACCAGTGACTCTAGATATGAGGAAGGATGATTGAAAGTTCAAGTCCCACCTCAGCAACTCAGTGAAGCCCTCAGCAACTTACTATAGCAAGTAAAAAATAAAAAGGACTGGGGATGTAGCTCAGTGGTAAAGCATCCCTGGGTTCAATTCCCAGTACAAAAAAAAAAAAAAAAAAGCAAAACAAACAAAAACAGTGACAGTTCCTGAGAAGACTGAGGCACCAGGCAAGTATAAAGGAGACAAGAAAGCACTTAGACAAGGAGAGGTGGCTGGTTACAGCAGCAAAGCCTAGCCCAGAACACAGAAAGGGAGTCCATGAGGACCCACACAGTAGGGTATACTCAGTAGAGAAGGTCTCAGTGCTGACCACAGGGTGGGGGTGGTCCCACCACAACTCCACCCCCAAGTTCTAGTTTCTAATTTCCAAGTTTGGTTACCTAAATCTACCATACTAAGCATATTTCTTAGAACTGAAAGCACTAAAAACTGGTCAATGAAAACAGTTTAAGCAAATGGGAAAGTGAAAAAGAGAACTAGAGAATTACTTACAGCTATGCATATGGCAGAGAGTTGATCTGTATGGGGGCTACCCAGGGTTACCCCCAGAAACTTCAGATTCAGGCTCCCAGTACTGTAATTTCATCAACTGCATAAGGGGACCTACACAGTGATAGCCTCCCAAAGCCTGCGGGGGAGTGGTGGAGGGAAGACCTGACTTTTTTCTAAATAGGTGGCCAGCATCCTATTTTTATTCTTCCCATGATTCAGACACAAGAAAAGAGAAGCAGAGGTCTTGAAATCCACATTCCCAGAGAACTAGGGCCCCCAACCTGTCCTCCTTGTCTGAGCCTCCAGAGCAAGCTCATGTTTCCCAGCCCGGCTGTCAGACCCCTCTCAAAGGCCATCCCTGAACTCAGCGTTCGGAAGAACCCAAGCGATGCTTCCGCCTTCTCAGGAGAGAGTGGAGGAGCTGCGGAGGACCCCTTTCTCCAGGGAAGTCCCAAAGCTGGAAAAAAGAACCTGGCGAGGCCAGCAAGTAACACCGAGCGAAGTCCTACAGAGAGGGCCGCGAAGCCGACACTAGGCGTCGAGGGTGCAGGGGAAAGGGCTGGGTCTCCCAAGCTGTTCCACCCGTTCACGAACTACGCGGCAGCGGTGAAAAGGGTGGGACAGCACAAAGCTGGGGTGTGGGGCGGGCAGGCAGGTGAGCCTCGCACCACCTGCGGCCGCGCCGCCTGTCGCTAGCGTCCCCCACCCACTCCGGGCCGCCAAGCTGCCCACCAGTCGGTCGGGGACTTCTCGGTGACCACCCGCACGTAGGCCTCTTGCAGCGCGGGCCCGTTCCGGCTCAGGTTCGCCGCCATGGTCCGCCCCACAGTCCCCGAGCCTCAGCCGATGCAGCTTTTGGGGCCAGCCTCCCTTGACCGCCGGAGCCCCGCCCAGGTGGACGGAAGCCTCGCCTCTGACAGCCGGAAGCCCCGCCCCGAGACCGGAAGTGAAAGTAGAGGCGGGACTGAACCGTAGCCTTTGGGCTCCCCTCCGGGTGAAGGCGGGTTGAGGTTATTGTTTTCAGGCGCTGGCGAACTAGAGGAACAGTCTTGTCAGCTTCTGTTCGTCCGCAGGGTGGTCTCCCCAGGCGTGGCCTAGCGTGTGCTCTGGTTCCAGTCCAACCGCTTAGTAGCTCCAGGAGTGATGCTTAATTCTGTTAATTCTTGTCGGAGTTAATGCACTTACTTGAGAGAGCCTGCATTCACGAGTCTTCCTCCACACCGGATCCCACGAGCCAGTGTGTGGACCCTCATCAGAAGTTTGATTTATGAATAAGTCATGTACAGCTCACATAATGAATACACGAATGAATGAATGCTAAGTGATGATCGCACGGCTACAAAATCTGAAAAAAAAAAAATGCTTTTGTGCCGGTGCTCACTTTTTTTTTCTCCCTCTGCAGTTTGGTTAAGTGTGGGGTAGTGGAGGAATGAAAAGGACTCACTTTGTGCTTTACCTTCACATGGAGGAGGTGGTTGTACTACCTTGAAGGATAAGAACCATCTTGCCTCAACCAGCCCCCTTCCAGGAAAGACCATTTTTTTCCATCCACAAATGTGCATGGATCATGAGAAGATCTGGAAGGAAGGCTCCCAGACGTTTTCGTTCTGAGGTGTGAACCAGACTAAAGGGTCTGAAGGATAGGGCACAGGTAGAAGTCCAGGGGAGGGGCATTGTGTTTCTTGGAGATCTAATGGAATCTTAAGTGGATTTTAAATGAGAGAGGATGGGACCTACCATAGGTAGATCATCTCCATTCCTGTTTCCCACCCACTCACATTTTTCTTGTGTTTCCCTTCCATCACATCTTGCATATGAGAAACTGAGTGACTCCATTTTTGAGAAACCAGCCTCTACCTCAGAGCAAAGCCTGTCCAAGGAAGGGGGTGTGACCCTTGTCCTTGAAAAACCCAAAGAGCACTCCTAGGCACATACCCGCCCTGCAAATAACAGGAGAGATCTGTGGCACCACGTGTCCCTGATTCAGGCTAGGTGAGGACCCATAGCAAACCCCTAGCAACCACCAATCAGCATGACACAGGGAAAATACCTGGGATGTCAGATGACCCTCCCAGTAGTTTATGGTGGTTGATAACATTTTGGGAAACCATGTAGTTCAGCATGTACTCCCCTCATGGCTTAAACCAATCAGTTTAAACGAATCCCCCTCTTGTACTAACCAATCACCCTTACCCAACTTGTTCCCTCCAGTGAATGTACTAATCATGTTTCAGAATTGTTTTATGATTTTCCTGCGGTGTGTGATGATTTGCTAAGAGATGCTATGATGTATGTAAAGTCCCTGCCTTCTCCAAAGAGTGTATAAAACTGCTGCAAACCCTAGGCTCGGGGCCTCTCAGCATCACCCAGTTGCTGTGTGCGTGGAGGACCGACCTAGCTCTCAGTAAATGCCTCTTTGCTGCTTACATCGATCTTGTCTCTGGTGGTCTTTTGGAGGTCCCAAACTCGAGCATAACACATACTGCTTTCATAATGCCACTTAACATAAATAGAAAATTATTACAATGACCATCTGGGAGTGACAGTCTTTCTTGCATGATCAGACACTGGCACTATTGTAGGCGGACTAGGGGACAGCAGAGTGAGAGACAGGCTCCAAGAGGCAGATCTGCTGTTGCCCTCCAACATGAAGGCTTGCTAAGGTCCTGCCCTCCAGGGGTATCCTGTTGTAGGCAGCTGGATGCCATTGAGCCTGTCTGGAGGGTGGTGACCTAGAAGAAGCAGGGAGGTGTTAGGTGACATATTTTAGAAAAATCAGAGAAGCCACACTGTTTGGACTGTTGGGAGTTTTGCAGATTTCCCATAGCTTTAGGTTTTGTTTAAATAAAACCTGTCAACAGGGAAAGACCAGACGGTAGGGACAACAAAGTCAGAAAACTGGCCTCAAGAATTGAACAGTAAGTCCTTCTTCAGGTGAACAAGCAGGCCTCTGGAAGGAATGCTGCTCAGGATTTATTTGCTGCTTCTGCCCACATAGCATCAAGCTGCTATTTAGGGATGCTGATAGCCACATCCTCCATTTCTCAGATAACCAGCACTCATGGCTAGATCCAGTGCTATGTAAGGTCCACCCCTTATACAAGGTGCCAGTCAGAAGAGTCAGGCACCAGAAGGGATGAGAGACAAGTGGCTCCATAGTGAACTTAGGGCTCCTTCTCTGCCTCTTTGGGTACCAGGTTCCAGGCCAGTAATTCTGCAGATCAGGCCTATAAGCATCTTTTCTGACACTGAGGAAAACTTTCTTTGAAATATGACCATCCTTAAGAAACTTCAGTGAGGTGGTATGGAATTCTTCTGTGTTGATATACTGCTCAGCTAGCTACAAGCTACCATTTTACATGGGTCTGTTTTGGGGAATTGAACCCAGGGGTGCTTAACTACATCCCCAGCCCTTTTTATTTTTTTTCGCTTAGAGACAGGGTCTCACTGAGTTGCTTAGGGCCTTGCTAAGTTGCTGAGGCTGGCGTTGAACTTGCAATTCTCTTGTCTCAGCCTCTCCAGCTACTGGGATTACAGGCAGGGAACACTGTGACCCAAGCTACCATTTTAATACGGTTAAAAATGCTTGCTGTGAGATTTTGACCCTTTGTCATGTTCTTATAACTCCCAGATATTCCTGGAACCTGACGGATGATCAAAATCTCAGCTCCATTCATCAAATCCAGAAACTTTTGGGAGAGTTAACAGTCATTTATTCATTATACATTTGTTGTTTAAGCATGCATCTCACCAGGTAAGCCCAGTGGCTCAGGAGGCTGAGGCAGGAGGATTGCAAGTTCAAAGCCAACTTCAGCAACTTAGCAAGGTACCAACTCAGTAAGACCCTGTCTCAAAATGAAAAATAAACGGGGGTGGCGATGTGGCTCAGTAGTTAAGTGCCCCTAGCTTCAATCCTTAGATACAATAAATGCATCTCCCTGACCTCTCTAGTCCAAAGAAAGAAACACATTACCCCACAGCTGACTTTTCAGATCTGCTGTCCAGTTGCTAACCAGGGACTTGCCTTGGAAGCATGATTTCTGAAGATGTGGGTTACACAGGAGCCCCCACACCATAGTTAATGTTACAACAAAGCTTTGACCCAAGGAGTGTTTTCCAGGCTGACTTGAGCCCTGGAAGGCATGACAAGTGGATGACTGTCTCATTGGGAGAGAACTTAAGGGGATTTCTCAAGAACATGCCTGTCCAAGGGGTCAGCAAGTATAAAGCCCACTTAAGATTCACAATGAGTCAAGATTTTTACTGGGAATCCACAAAGGGCTGATTTTACTTTCTCTACTACCTATCTCAAGCAGAGAGGGGAAGCTTGGGAAATTTTGACTGGATGCAGAAAATCCACGTTTCTTCAAACTATTATACTTGAAAATCTAGAATGTGGATACCCACATCCCTGACACCAGTTTGGGTCTGGATTTTCCCCTCTGACCTGCCTATAACATGTGAATCATTCTCCACTTCCTAATCTACATAAACCATTATATGCAAAATGCTCTGTGATGCTGAAGTACACAATTTCACACATTGCATGGCATTGCTGCTTAGCAGAGCCTGCATTAACATCCTTTCTGAAAGATATCTTGGTAAAGGCATTCTCACCATTTATTAAGACTTACTGTTCTGTTTAAGCAAAGACCAAAGGGGTAGCAAAGAGAAATTAAGAAGGCAACCCTAACCATGGTGAGAAGCAAGGAACAAGGACCATAGGACCCAAAAAGAAGCTTTATGATAACAGGATAATCCTAAATGGAAACCCCCAAAAGGCAAATGCAGACCAGGCTCCATCTACTCCATCTTTTGCAAAAGGAGTAATGACATGAATAACATCAGGAAGGTATTCTCATTGACAAAACATCTCGCAATAAGGTTGCAGCTACAACTTAGGAGTTTCAGGAACAAATCAAACTCCCACAGTCATCTTTGGTTAACCCCAAGTTCTAGATCTGCAGACCTTCCAATTGCCCTCAGAGGTTTTTCCTGGCCTTTTGGTTGCAGTTTTACTCTTCGCTGCCCTGTTCTTTACTTCTAGCAGTAGTGGTTATTGAACCCAGGGGTGCTCTACCACTAAGCTAGGTCCCCAGCCCTTTTTAAATTTTTTGAGACTGGGTCTTGCTAAGTTGTTGAGGCTGGCCTTGAACTTGTGATCCTCCTGCTTCAGCCTCCCAAGTTACTGAGATTGCAGGTGTGTACAACCCAGCTCTGCTTCTGTTCTGAATCACTCAAGCATCACTCTGTGAGAATGGAATAACCAACCTGGAAAAAACTAAATTTGGCTTTAGAAATTTGAAGCCCTTCAACTTTCCTCCTTCTTTGGAGGTTTTATTTGAAATCCCTTTCATGCCTTTTCCTAAGTCACCTAATCTCAAAGCTGTCAGCTCTAAAGTCAAAACCTTAAAATGTGTTCAATCAGAAAGTCAAACCTGGGCTGGGGATGTGGCTCAAGCGGTAGCGTGCTCGCCTGGCATGCGTGCGGCCCAGGTTCGATCCTCAGCACCACATACAAACAAAGATGTTGTGTCTGCCGAAAACTAAAAAAATAAACACTAAAAATTTATCTCTCTCTCTCTCACACTCACTCTTTCTTTAAAAAAAAAAAAAAGTCAAACCTTAAAATGTGTTCAATCAGAAAGCCAAGCAAGGAAGCCAGGCACTTAACAGACTATTCTAATTAAGGCTCTGAAAACCCTGTCAAGTTTTCATATCTTCTGTTCTGCCTAGGGGGTGGGGTGGGGGAAGGAGACTTAAATATCAACTATTATTTAGACTCTTAAGGGAATTGCATTTTTATTTACAGTTGAGTCTCTACCCCTCCCTGTGTTCTAGTCTGCAAATGGCTTACACTTGGACTTTGTATAGGATCCTGGTGGGAGGAGGTGG